GGGAAGCGCGGGGCGGGGCTGGGCGGAGAGTGGGCGGTGTCGAGAGGGGCGTGGCCAAGGGGGTGGGGCGGGGCGTCCGGGCGGGAAGAAGAGGCGAATAAAGAGAGGGAGGGGCTTGGAGGAGCATTGGGGTGGGGCTTAAGAGTGGATTGATGGAGTGAGGCGGGATTGGTTTCTTGGGTTAAGCATGTTCGGTTTGTCGATGGGGGGAGAGATGATCAATTTGTAAGTGGCTATTAATGTGTTCAGAAATATAGCTCTGCACGTTTCACAGGCTTTCAAGGACAGCTTTACCTACCATGGATTTGGCTGCAGGTGTTTTCTTGACTGGCTCTTTAAGAGAAGGCAAAGAAAATAGTGTTTTAAATGTTTTTTTTATATAACTGATGCCCTGTATTAATAATAATCCATTTATTCAGTCAAAAACAAATTTTCATTTCCCCTGCCCCTGTGCCCAGGAGCACAGGTAGTGATTAATTTGTCAATATCCTGAAGTGGCTTGCTTATTTAAGCCACTTCATGAGTTTGGCAATTTCAAACCGGAAGCCTTAGTTTGGACTGGTTCCAGCAATCACACATGCTGGACCCAATCCAAAACAACAACAAAAAGAGGCGCCTTTCTCTCAGTCCCACCACCCTCACAGTTGCACTTACTGGGGACATGGAAGAGGGCCTTCTCTCTGACTACTCCTAGACTTTGGAACTCCCTCCCACTGGAGGCCAGCTCTTTGCTGTCCTTGAACAAGCAGAGGAAGACCTTTCTCTTCAAGCAAGCTTTCCCTTAATGACTGGCTCCCTGAGTGGGTTTTTTAAAATGGATTGTTGTGCCTTACTGCCTTGAATGTGTTTTTGGTGTCGCTTGTATATACTACCTACCTCGCTTTAGTGTGGTATTTATTTGATCCTTTTTAGTATATTTATACTTATTGTTTTTAGCTTTAAATACTGTATTGTCTTTTAAAGATGTAAGCTGTCTTGGGTACTTTTTAAGAAGAAAGGTGGGATAAAATATTTTGAATAGAATAGAATTCCTTTCAGGAGCTCAGAAAGAAGCAAATAGGACCCCTCTGGGGGGCTGGCAGGGTCACAACAACATGGACATTGTCTGATTGCTGTCTTTAAGAGTGAACCAGCCTGTTCCTGCAGTGGACCAAACAGCAGGATAGACACCCATGTAGTCAGCCTGAGCCTCAGAGTTTGTGAGTTTGATTCCCCATTGTGTCTCCCAGAAGAAAAGCCAGCCTGGACAGCCTTGGGATCTCTGCCCGGTCCCAGGGGTTTTCCAGACAAAGGGAATAATAAGCCACTTCTGAGTGCTCTGTAGCTGGGAAACCCTGAGAAGGGTTGCTGTAAGTTGTAATAGTTATTATTATTATTTTTTTACATAGGATTGTGACCGAAAATTATAATCCTGAAAACTAATTCTTTGCAGTCTTGGGAGCAAATCAAGACAACATATGGATGTGTTACAGAATAAGAATGCATCCTATGAATGAGATTTATTTGGGATAAAGCCTTACGGAATATAGTAGGAATTATTTGTATAAGCCACTTCTGAGTGCTCTGTAGCTGGGAAACCCTGAGAAGGGTTGCTGTAAGTTGTAATAGTTATTTTTTTTACATAGAATTGTGACCGAAAATTATAATCCTGGAATACGAATTCTTTGCAGTCTTGGGAGCAAATCAAGACAACATATGGATGTGTTGTAGAATAAAAATGCATCCTATGAATGACATTTATTTGGGATAAAGCCTTATGGAATATAGTAGGAATTATTTGTGAGAAAATATACATATCGAGACTGAAGGATGCCTATGATGATTTGTGAGAAAATATACATGTGGACTATATTTACTGTTGAAAAGATTGGAGAACTTAGAAGGGGCACTATTATTATTGTTTTGTTGCTATTACTCTAGGAGAGTAAATAAAAATTCTTTGTGCCTATAAATGTACTGTTGGAATTTTAGATGCCCCAGGCCTGTGGAACTCCCTGTTGTAGGAGTTGGACACTCCCTGTTATCCTTCTACTGGTAAGCAGAGTCCTCATTACACTGGTAGGATTTCATGAATAGATTGGTTCTTGATATGGAAGCTTTTATCAGATCTGTTTCATGTTGTTGTTGTTTAACTGATGCATTCTTAAAGTATTTTCAGTGCAATTGTTTTAATTGCAACTCAAATCACAGCTGGTAATAAATCCAAGCTAATGTTATGATTTACTCACATTTAACATGATAATCTTTTGTAGATTTTATTTATAGATTTTTTAAAAAAAATATATGTTAAATATGTTTTTATCTGTATCTGTTTTACTCTCTTTGCAAACTGCCAGGAATGAAAGGCTGGACCTGATCAAATAAATAATATGGCTTAAGTCAAGATCTCTGTAGTTGGAATCGTGACTTGGTGGTGGCAATTTCCTGGATCTAAAGAGTTCTTCTTCCTCATTTTATGATCCCCACAGACTTGCCCAAGATGAAAAGGATCCACAGGGATCCCTAGAATCTGGGGAGCAAATAAGAAGCTTTTAATTACTCCAAACAGCCACAGCAGATGACATTATTACAGTTGTGAGGCATGGTGGCTTCCAGCTGTGCAGTTCTAAAATGGTAATGACAAAGTGGCAGAACAGGATTCCAAACCATGTGCTTACTTCTTTTTTTATTTCACCTCTCCACAATTAAATTTGGTGCTCATGGCAGCTAACAAACATCATTAAAAAAAATAACCATTAAACAATTAAAGGCATCAAAATAATGACTTTAACAGTTGTGTAGCAAAGAGAAATTCAACAGGTACAGCTTTTCTTTGCCATAGGGGGAATTCTGCATTGAAGTGCTAGAGAGAAGCTGCTGGATATTAGTAAAGAGGTTTCCTTTTCTTTCAAAGGAAGGATTTGGGGAAAGAAAGAAAGCGTTAGAAGAGTACATTTAGTTTCCAACTATGTACTGTATTTGTTCTTAGGTTTTAAATACCTTCCACCCCCTTCTAGGGGAGGGTTGGGGAATGGCAATGGTGTTCTGTTTACTTTGTCCATCTGTCTCATCTGTCCATTCCACATTCCTCGCTGGAGGATTGAGATGCCAACTGCAGCCACCCCCTCGGCACTACAAGAAACACTGGCATTGTTCTCTTGTTAGCCCCACTTGTGGATAGAAAAATGCCACCCGGATGGGCACAGCTGGTGTGCAGGGGAAAGGAGGGCACCAAGAGAAAAGCAAAGCGATTCTCCTTGCTAGAACAAGGGGCACCCTCTCCTCTCTGGTGGAATTAAAAAGACTTTCGACCGATGTTAGTTTAGTGAATTCAAATGCAGCAGTCCATGACCAGGCTTTGAAGTCAAATCAAACTTTAAGCTAAACTCTGATCAGATTGGTTGAAATCCCATCAGATGGTAACCAATCCCAGTTATTTTTATAGTGGGAACAGTGGGTGACCTGTTAAAAGGGATGCCAGCTTTCTAGCGAATGTCTCTCGTTCAGCTTTCGGTAGGAACACATGGGAAGCCAACCAAAAAAAAGTTGCAGCATACCCCAGCTCCTAACAAAAATGTCCTTCCTTCAGGGCTTCAGATAATCCAAATAAACACCTGTCTGGATCTGCAGTGGGAAAGGAGAAATTTTAAAGACTGAAGAACACACTGTCTTTTTTAGAAAATGGATTTCCTTCACAACTGGAACGTTCCCCTCTGTTTTCATTTTAAAACCTACAACACAGGAGGAGGTTTCTGGAGATTGGAAAGGGTATTCTTTCTTTCTGAAACAGTCCCAGAACTTACAGTAAGAAACAGCAGACTGGAGGTTTGTACGATCTTTAAAAAAAAAAGAAAAAAAGAACCCCACGAGCTGCCTATTGAAGCCTAATACAAAAAAAAAAACATTATTGCACCCTGGAATTTGTTTCAAAAACAGGAACTGAATGGAAGTTCACAGTTTTCCTTCTACACAGAAAAAATACGCACCACTCCTCCTCACCCCAGTCTTTATTCACTTCAACAATGTCAGGGCATATTTTAGGAGAGGCTGTCATTTTGTTGCTATGATCATTCATGAGTTAGGATTCGGGAAACCTTGCAGATCTACTGCAAATCATCCGAAAATGTGCCAGCAAATGCAGATCTAACTTGTGTGCACAGCTTCCAAGATCCTAATTTTCTTTTCTAGAACACATTCAATCAGGGATGGGGAACCTGTAGCCCTCGAAATGTTGTTAAACTACAGCTCTCCTCATGCTGATCACTGACCACACTGGCTGGGGATAATGGGAATGTTAGTCCAAGAATATCTGGTTCTCTCCTCTTGCTGTAAACAGTTTGTAAGTCCATCCCTGTTTCTCACCTTCATGATCATTTTCTGTTCCGTGTGTCTATGTCTCTAAAGGGCATGCTCGCTCCTTTTTGGACCTTCATTCTTGTTTTTTGTAAATAAATGTTATGTATTGGGAGAGTAACCCTAAGGCTGTGGACTCTATTCTGGGACCTGAGCGGCCCCAATTATGCTGCTAACGTGACAGACATAAGGCACCCACTTATCAGAAGCAAAGACAAAGGGGTCCTGGCTTCTCTCTATTTCTCCCTCTCTCTCCCTGTCTTCTGGATTTGTTTTAAATTGCTTTGTTAAAAAGCTATTGTCAGATCAATGCCTGAGCCCTGAGTTAGGTGAAATATGGTCTTGGAGCTATCTATACAGTTAGGCATGGAGTGAAGAGCACATTTTAATGAAATGCTAAATTACAATTCCGTAACTTACAATTATATGCCAAGTTCTTCTCTCTTGCTACTCAACTGGCATAGCCACCTCTCATACCGCTGGGATTTCAACTTCCGAGTCTGAAGGTATGATTTATAACTCATGAAGCCTGGTATCTCTAATTTTGCATACAAAGCTCTGTTTACTACAGTGACAGACTAGCTGCAGTTACAGTCACGTATCCACACATTTATAAACTTCCTTCTCCTCCTCGGGCTGTCCATGAATCCTTCCTTGTGCAGCCTTCTCTGCTTTGTGCCGCTATGCCCCGTTTTCGCCAGAAGAATCTGCTTCACAGAGGCATGAAGTGTAAGAACCATACTTTATTTAATAAAGAGAAAATTATAAAGTCTGTAGTAACAAACATACAACAAAAATACTCTGTAACAATATACATTTTCATCTGCATAAATAAATACATCTCTATTTGGGTTCGTCCTTTATATTATTTGATGTGCAATTTGGGTTTTTTTAAGGTCTCGGTTTCTTAAGCAGCTAAGAAATTACTTACGAAATACCATAAGACTCATTTAGGTGTAAGTGTTTTATGTTTATGCAATAAGGAACAAACAGGAGACCTGAGAAAGAACATCAGTACCCCTTGCTGGTGCTCATGTGACAAAGTCATGACCATGCCTTGTTTGCATAAACATGTATAGATTTTTTAAAAAGCAAGTACACATTGCCCAAAATAGGTTTGTTAAAGAATAGAAAGAAAACCAAGTGAAAATGATTACCCTAATGCACTGAGGGTACATAGTAATACTGCCACCTACTGAAGAGAGGTTATTCTGTCCATGCTGGTGTGTAAGTCTTGAGGGGGAAAGTTACAAGGCACCATCTGCTGTCTTTTCATCATCATAAGTGCTTCTGCCCTCAAATGGAGGCTCTCTGTATTTCGACAACCTAGAATAGATTGTCAAATAGGGGTATAGGAACTGCGGCCTATGGCATGCAAACGTCCCCTGTATTATGTGCTGTCAAGTTGGAATTGCCTTACAGCAACCCTGCTAGGGTTTCCAAGATAAGTAAGGTATTTTAGGGGTGGTTGCATCTTCCCTCAAGAGTTTCTATGGCTAAGCAGTGATTCAAACTCAGGCCTCTTGAATCCTAGCCCATCGTTCATTCTATCCACTGTATCACACTATATCCTAGGATCATTTAACATAGTTTCAACCTCATGATTCCATCTCCCCACCCCACCCCAACAGCCAGGAGAAGAAGCCATGAATCATACCCTCCAGAAACCTCTAGGAGCCACAGCCATGGGACACACACATATCTCTAGATTTCACCAGTGACTTTCATAATGGGAGCCATATACTCATAATCTCTTGCTTTATTCACTGCCTCCCACTCAAGTCTGCAATACTAGCAAAATTCACTGGTGTTCATTCTTTAAGGCAAGGAGCACTGCCAAAAAGCTTGCCAGGGCTATGTGGAGAATTAAAGTACTGTACATAACACAATTCAAAGTGCAGCCCAGGAACGTACATATTAATCAAGTAGTAAGGCATTGCTCTTCTCCAAGATGGATAATTTACCATACTTGTTTCCAGCTTCTAAGAATTCAGTGTAAAAAATATTTCCCCTTCACTACTGGGGGAAGCAGTTGTTCTTCCCAGTTCAGAGCTTTTAGTTTCACAAAGGAGATAAGGATTTGTATCTAGGATTCAGGATCATTCAGCCAAAACATTGATGCACTGATCAGTTTGAATGACATTGGTGTTGCAGCTACTGATGTTGTCTGGCGGATACTCTAGAAAAAGCTGAATCATGCCTTTGACTAAGCAATCTTAGAATACAGACTGGCCAACTGGTGCTGAAGGGCTAGAGGTATCAAAAAAGATAGAAGGAGATAAAAATGAATTAGTTAAGTTATATGTTGAGAAAGCCAGAACATCTGGTGTAAAACTACATTTTAGCAAAGTGAATCCCACTGGTTAATCAATAAGGAGCACTGCCTCTAGTTGTATGATTTGCCTTGACCCACACTGGCCTACGTCCATGTTATTCCTTTGGATATAGTGGTCTGTCTTCCATCTAACACCAGTTGGAAATGCCTGAAAAATCTTACTTTTTGGACTACAGTTCCCAGAATCCCTGAGCTAGCATAGTCAGTGTGGAATTCTGAGAGTTGTAGTCTAAAACAATCCCACATTTCCAAGCTTTGCCATTTGTGTGTGTTTCAGACTAGAGCTTGAAAGACAATTTAGGGTGTCATTCTCAATGTCTGACAGATGCAATGAAATCTGAGCCTTATTTGCATGTTCTACATATTTAAGCACTTATATATTGCAGCAGGACCAAGGATGTCCTTGCTAGCTAAGGTAGCCTGATGGACTGGCCATCTGCAACCTTAAAAACCTCCCACATCTGAGATCACGTGTCCAGATTAGCATGGCCTCTGTTGGCATGCTGAATATGGGTATGGGCAGAGAAATCCCTATGCTTGATTTGTAGATACCTCTTCCTGGCTGTCCACATGCAATCCATGGGTATCATGGGCACACAAAGGTGGGCTCGGCAGCTCAGCCCTGCTCCTACATCAGTATGTGCCTCCTGTACTGTGCCCAGGGCTCATTTAAGACATGCTGAAGCCCTGAGCTATGATAAAATTTTAAAAGGTCCACATGGCCTATACACCTGTAACAGATTAACAAGGCTGTAATAGGATGGACATACAGGACAGGAGAACAAATACGTCTAGCCTAGCGTTGGTTGACAAGGTGCTACAAAGACACAGAACCCATTTTAGCCCCTGGCATCTCAATAGGGATCTCCTGTGTGACCCAACCTCCCTGTTAGCCTTTCCCTTGGGTCTGCCCTGGAGTGCCACATTCCCTCCACCACCCTTCTTTCAGCCATTTTTGGAAGGTGCCCCACACCTGCAGTCCCCTCAACTTTTCCGGAAAAGAGAGAAGAAGCCGCTGCCACTGGTAGCGCTGGTGCCACGTCGAAATAAAGGAGGGTTCTTGCCTTGCGTTGGGGTTCTAGGTGGCGAGGTGACAGGAGGTGTCTCTTCCTGATGCTTCTGGAGTAGCTGCTGGTGTATGATATACTGAATATCATCCTGTTTGCCAGAAGAAAAGGGGGGAATATAATCATTCTTAGTGAACTCAGTACGTTGTTTTTCTCTAGAATGAAGTCAAACGCTCTATGGAGAACTTTTCTTTTGTTTGAAACAGAGGTTCTGGAAGACTGTCTCTAGAGTAGAGTTGAAAGTTGGTACGATTAACCCACATTTTAACTTTTATTTAGCACCCATAACACAAACGCCCCCTCAACTTCAGATGCTGCACAAGGTGGTACTGTAACATGTGGAAGGAATATTTTAATCCAGAATTATTTTCTTTCCTCTATACTGCAAATTTTCTAGATCGACCCTCTTCTACTACTCCCTGCTAGTTATTTCTTCTCCAATTTTTATTTTTCATGTTAATTCCGAGCACCTCCTTTCCTCTCTCTTTAGTAATAACACTTTTTGCTCAGACAGTCATGAAGAAGCCTTCAATTCTGCATTTTTCTACCCTATTCTTAGTCTATTTCTCAGTTATCCTTCTTCTTCCTCCTATCCTCCATTTTCTCTCCCTTTAAGGGCCCTGTTTGGAACTGGCATGAATCCACCAAGCAAACTTGGAACAAATTGTGAATGCAGGATTGCAACCAAAAATTCTCACACTCATTTCAGCTGTGTCACTGCCTGAATCTGGATTCTATTAAACACAGCAAGAGCCAAAACAACGTCTTACTGGTAATCTGGTGTTTTAAAAGTTTAACTTTTTTTTTTACAGTTAGGTTTCATAGCACATAGTTTGCTTTAGCCTCCTTGCAGTATACAAAACAGAAGGACTAATAGTGAGACTGAAGTTTCTGTATAAAATTTCAGGAAATGTTTTCTGTCTTTTCTGATGCTTTCTTACTCACTTGCCAAGCTTCCAGCTCCTGGGAAAGTGCCATCTTCTGCCGAATGACACGCAGTAACTGCTGGCTCAATGAATCCCGTTCCAAAGAGACTTTTGCCATTTCAAGTTGCACTTCACCTTTCCTAATAAGAAAGAGAAAACATACACATAGATGATAGAGAGAGATGGATATATATATACATCCTACAAGACAGGTATCCACCTTTGTTTATATATATCCTGCTTTGTGTCTGTTTGTGTGGCTGCATGTATGTATACATCCACATATACACATGCAGAGTATGCGTGTATATAGGTATAAATATGGATATACAGTACGTGTATTCTGTTCTGAGAACAATATTAATGGGACTGGAAAAATCAAACCCATTTCAACAGGGATGGGTAGATTTCAGGCCTGTTGGATCTTTTTTTAACCAGAATCCCAAGATCTACCATTCAGCTCTCAATGCAAAATTCATATATTTATCATTAAAATTTCTGAGCCTAGGATCTACCATACCAGGATTAAATGGAGCTCAGAGCCTCTATGTAAAAATACACTCCTGGACACCACCACAGAAGGTGAGTTTTGTTACCTTGCTTAGGGAGGGTAATTTTTTTGTTACTTTTGGAGGATAGTCAAACAATCAAGGGTCTGAAATCTTTGCAGATTTGCTGCAAATCAGCCACAGATCTATCAATATAATTTGCCCCTCCCTACATGACTCTTTTAGAATGATTTTGCATGAAATTCCCATCATGACCTGAAGATGTCACTTTCCTATTACTTAAAATTAAGTATTTTTCCTTCTCCCCATAGAGGGTGTACTAGAGCCTCCGGAAGTTCTGTGGAAGTTTGTCATTCATGCGTGTCCTACAGGATTTCCTGAAAGTCAAATTGCTATTTCCATCCTCTTTTGAAACCTATGAAATGTAAGAGAACGTTGAAATGTGCTCATCTAGGATATACCTCAGTTGATCTGAGTGCACAACAGGGTGACCCTATGCTCCCTGGGCCATTTCCCAGAATCCTCTCTAGTCCACAAGGATTCCATAGTGTACGTGCAAAGAGCTAGAATCCCTGATGCTAGAATGTTTGGTTTAATATAGTGCCAAAGAGACACACCTACAGCCATCAAGCGATTTGAGATAATGTTAGTTGATTGCCTGCCATTTGTGTTATTAATTAACTCATGGAAGTAAACATTGTGGGACATGGTGGCGCTGCGGGTTAAACCGCAGAAGCCTCTGTGCTGCAGGGTCAGAAGACCAGCAGTCGTAAGATCGAATCCAAGTGACAGAGTGAGCTCCTGTCGCTTGTCCCAGCTCCTGCCAACCTAGCAGTTCAAAAGCATGTAAATATGAGGAGATAAATAGGTACCACCATGGTGGGAAGGTCACGGCATCCCATGTCTAGTCGCGCTGGCCACGCGACCACAGAAACTTTCTACAAACGCTGACTGACTTGGAGATGGAGATGAGCACCGCGCCCTAGGGTCAGACACGACTGGACAAAATGTCAAGGGGAACCTTTACCTTTATCTAAGTAAACATTAGAGTCTCTCAAACACTGGAGATTGTTTTAGGGAAGTTGATGACAGCAGCAGACCGAGTAACACTGACAATGGACGATGGGTGTTTAAAAACAGAGAATGCAGGTGGGAGAGCAGAAAAAGACCAGTTCCAATACTTTTTGTAACAGCTCCTTTAGCTACTACAGTATTCTTAGAAGAAGATGTAACACTCATATTAGAGGGAGTCAGAGCTTGTGGGCTGCCTGCAAGGCTTTTCATCCTTCCTCACCAGTAAGTGAACTGCTGATTATGGGAGAAACCATCATGAATATGGAGATTTGCTGTAAGCAAGGGCAAAGGGCAGGGCTCTGAGGTTGGACCACAACTCCCATCAGCCTTGGTCAGAATAACCAATAGTGTGGAATGCTGGTCTGACAACATCTGGAGGGCTACATTTTGACTACCCTAACGTAGCACCTAAGACTGGTTCCAACAGCCAAAGACAAGCACATAAGCATGTAAGACACACCTCCTGCATCAGGTCAACGATCCATCTAAGCCAGCACATAGAGTTCTACAACTTAGTGAATGCCTGGGAGACAAGAAACTGAATTGTTTATATTTTGTTCCTTCTAAATCTGTGGGTTTTTTTTGTAATGCCATTAATAGGCTATATTAATAGGGAAACATGCATACATAAACATTATTGATTTCATTACAGGAATGTAGATGCATTAAAAACATCTTTGATCCAGTCACAATAGTATGTACACAGGGATTTAACCTATATATGGCATGGTAGATGCCTTATAATAGACATAATGGCCAAAATCCACTTGCCAATGAAGCACATGCCCAGGAATGGAAGTAGCACCTAATTAATTAGCAGCAATTTGCCACTGCCATATATGCAGTTTCATTTAATGCAACCATAAATCAGCAACTGAATCCTGACCACCGTTGTCACTGCCTGTAAATTGATTTTTCTATGGAGAAAATGCAAATAATGCGTAAAGAACATAAGATGATCTCACTTTAGTATAGCTTCATCCCTCTCTGCTACAGCTAATTTCAAGGCCTCATCCCGGTTGCTTTGTTGATATAAAAGCTTCTGGTTCTCTATTTCAGACTTTAAATGACAGAGTTCCACGTATTGCAGTGTAATCTGGAAAGAGAAAGAAGAAGTATAAAATGATGTTAAATAAAAAAAATATTATGGCCATTACCCATAAAATGGCACTTTTAATGGAGAAGGACAGCACATGCTACCTGATCGTGGAGTTTCGTGATCTCCGTAGTATAAAATGATGTTAAATAAAAAAAATACATTATGGCCATTACCCATAAAATTGCATTTTTAATGGAGGAGGATACCACATGCTACCTGATCGTGGAGTTTTGTGATCTCTGATTCCTTCTGCTTCAGTATATCTTGCTCCTGATGATTCAAGGCTGAAACCATTTTAGCATATTCAGCTTCCTCCTCTTCTGATCTCTGAGATGAATTCTTTACAACCACAAGGGCAGAACCTGCCTTGCGAGTGCCATTGGCCATCAGCTGAAGAGATAGAACCCCCCACTAATTAGTGGAATAATTTGTGCTGCAAAGATGTCACTCACTCTGAGGTGGAACACAGTAGATGCTGTCTCTTCAAGACAGTACATGAGGACAGAGGACATGTTTTCACAGGGACCTCTCATATAACATTAGCATGTTGTTTGGACATTCCTAAGAGGGCTTACCTGAGAGTAAACACTTTTGGGCATAGCAGGAATTATATTTGCAAAAACATGTATAGGATTGGGCTGTAAGTGAGATTACGGTAATGGCAGGACTATTACTGCCAAAACCGGAACTTTGTACGTACATAGAATCTAGATATGGCTAGAATTTCATTGTTTAAAATGTTGTAATTTTTCAAGTATCACTTTTTAATTGTTCATATTATGTTGACTGTACAATATATTTATTCATTTAGAATATTTATACCACACCTTACTACTCAAGGGACCTGTTTATTGATAGTTTTTAAGGAATGTTAACATCATAATTTTTTAAACCTTTTTAGGTTTCTGAATTGTCATAGAAAGAAGATACATCTACAGAGTGCCTAAATTCCATAACTAAGAATAAGGAGAGCCTGTACAGAAAATATAAGATAATTTTTGTCCAGTCGTGTTGACTCTAGGGGGCGGTGCTCATCCCCGTTTCCAAGCCATAGAGCCAGCGTTTTGTCCGAAGACAGTCTTCCGTGGTCACATGGCCAGTGCGACTTAGACACGGAATGCTGTTACCTTCCCACCGAGGTGGTCCCTATTTATCTACTTGCATTTGCATGCTTTCGAACCTCTAGCTTGGTGGGAGCTGAAAATATAATGTTGTCTAAAATCTGAGGTTTGTTTTCTTTCTGAATTCTAAACTGCAATATTAAAATTTCTGGTAAGTAGATAAGTCTGTGGTATGTTTTAGGCTTCCAAAATGGGTGTACTGTATATAGTTGATGACACATTATATATATGGGGGTGTATATATTATACAGTATATAATTGACGAGTCAATTCAGTACCTCCATCTGCCCCATACCTTAGGGGTCTGTCCAGGTGCCCCAGGAGCATCTTCCAAACTACTTTCAATTTCAGACTGGATGGAAGCGACGGAGGTGTCCAAGTCATGCAGCCGGATCTCTTCTTTCATCTCCCTGACTTGATGCTGCAAACGACGGTTGGAGGCTCGAAGCTCCTCCGCTTCCGCTTCCACCTGCTGCAGCTTGGGAGGAGGAAGAGGAAGAGGGTATCTGTCACATTTAAAAGACTTGTGGTGAACAGTTCCTCTGTGTACAGCTACACTCAATGACTCCTTCCTCCTTTTTGCATTAACACATACATCACCTATTTTTAATTTTCACTCTCTCCTGCCACCTCCTCCATCTTAACTCTTGCGTCTCAATTCTAGGCGTTATTCCCCCTCTGTCTTAATATTTATTACAGGTGTGCAGATGTGTGTTTGCTGTTGTCACACCACACCACCTAGATTTCCAAGGCAGCTAGCGACACAACTACCATATTTATATACATACTCGCAACTCTTTCTCGTGACTTTCTTTGCGAAGACGGAGAAGGTTATCATGCAGGACGTCCACCAGAGCCTGAATGGATTCATTCTCTTCCCGGAGTTGGTGGATCTGTTTCTCCAGATCTTGTCTCCGTTGTTGTAACATCAGATTCTGCCAAAGGTGAGAATGGTGGGGAATCAACATGATGTCTTAAAAAGCAGTTGACATCCTGTTACTGCTAGGCCTCGTATCTCCACCCGCTGTTCAGTTGCTAAGTGGTTCCAGTGCTTCAGCTTAAAGGGCCCATATACTGTATTATTTTACAGGTTGGCAAGACACAGCATTTTCCTTTCTAAAATACAAAATCTAAAACAGTATGCCCTTGCTACTGAAGCAAGTATTTCATACCACATAATGAGGCATCAGTCTCAGTAGCCTGATGGCAAGCCAGCCTGAGGTAGAGCAAAGCTGTGATGCCACAATAGTCTTTTTAAGCTACCTTTTTACAAAGTAAATAGACACAGACTTTCACCCTTCTTTTGCCCCTACATGTAGCAGATAGCAGCATATAGTGAGTACAAAGCTCCTGAAGTTGGCATCTCTCTGCCAACTGAGATGCGTCCCCTGACCACTACCCCACTAATCCACCCTTTCAATGTGTAGCATCAGAGCCATGTTTGCATTTCCTCAATATACTGATGGGAATCAGACTGGCCCTGCCATTAGGCAGAGTGAGGCGGCAACCACAGGTGGCAGATGTCCAGGGGCAGGGCATGTTGAAGTAATCTTGGAGGATGGACTTGTGTGGCTGGGTCTTAGCCCTCTAAACATCTGGTTGCCCCAGATGTGGCTGAGGTACATCTGCTTCTAGGGTTTCCTGGATGTTTTTATTTCATTTTTAATACACATTCTTTCTTTTTATTAATAATATCAATCAGTACATAATTTTATATACCGTACTTCTCTGCCCTCCCTCCCTCCCTCTCATCCTCCCTTCTCCATCCTCTCAGAGGGAAGAGGAATGGAAAAACTAAGAATGAGGGGGTTGGAATAAAGGCCCAGAATTCTCTAGTTGTTGGTTGCTGGAGAATTCTGTGAGCTTTTTTTTCAAAGGTGAAGGGTGCCATTTTATTCTTTGTGCAGAAATAAAACCCAGTTGCCATTCTGGCTTTTTTTTTTCAAGGAATAGGGTAGCTACCATTTTGTCCTTTGTCTCAGGAACCAAAATGTCTTAGGCCAGGCCTGCTCTCCATCTAATCTTCTCTCCTTGAAGTCACTACTGTCTTAATTCCTCACAATACTCTGGATGATGCAATGTTGGGGGGTGTTCGAGGGCATTGCAGGAAATCTGAATATGTATTCCACACTACCAAATCTGAACTGGAATGCTGGAAAAGTGGTGGACAGGCTAGCCAATAGTGCTGGGCCCCACTGAGGCCACAACATCCTCACACAAGGATGCCCATTGCTGACATCTGTCAGAGATATGAATAATCTTTATCAATCTCAATTTAGCCTCCATTATTTAGTCCATGAGAAACCAGCCAGACCTAGGAAACAACAGCCCCTAATAGGGTGGTAGAGAGAACATCATATCATATTCTCTGATGCCCTTCTGGCATCTCCTGGTGGAAGAGAGACTCGCAAAGGAGAGGTCTCCTTTCTCACCTCAGCTTGTAGGCTTTGTATCCTAGCAGCATGTTCGGCACTGCTAAGGGTCAAGGTCCGATGCTCGCCGCGCAGCAAAGTCAGATCTTCCCGGAGCTGCTGCTCCACCTGAGCAATCTGGGGGGTGATGGAGAGATATCAGGCTTTGACAACATCCACACTGCAGTCTATAAAATAGATCTCTCAGCTCTGGGCTGCGTGAAGTACAATGGACCTCTGAACACGTACAGGGCATGGTCATTCAATTTGATTTAGCGCTTATGCAAAAAACAAACAAGTATGTATATAAAGCCGCCCCGAGTAGACATGGTCTAGAGGAGCGGGGTAAAAATCAAATAAATAAATAAATAAATAAATAAGACATGAGGGAAGACAATGCTATTGAACACACAGAACTGCCTTTTCTTCACTTTTGAATACATGTACCTACATTTACAGTGGGGTCTCTACTTAAGAACTTAATCTGTATTGGAAGGTGGTTCTCAAGTTGAAAAGTTCTTATGTTGAATCTGCATTTCCCATAGGAATGCATTGAAAACCATTTAATCCGTATCTGCTCTTTTCCGTCCATAGAAACTACAGTGGAACCTCTACTTAAGAACTTAATCCGTTTTGGAATGGTGTTCTTAAGTTGAAACGTTCTTAAGTTGAAGCAAAATTTCCCATAGGAATGGACTGAAAACCAATTAATCCGTTCTGGCTGTTTTTTTGTTATGTAGAGGTGTGTTCGTACATTGAAGCATTAGTTCCCATAGGAACTAATGCAAAGCTGGTTAATACGTACTCTATCACTAGGGGGAGAATTTTTTTTTAACCTAAGATGACCTAAGGTTAAAAATAGAGCAGGAAAGATTTTTTTTCCTTTTCTTATCTTGGATTTCTGTTTTTCAAGTAGAAGCAAAATTTAGCAAATTGAGCTGTTCTTAAGTTGGATTGTTCTTAAGTAGGGACGTTCTTAAGTAGAGACCCCACTGTAGTACATAAAACACTGTAACTAAGAGGCAAGGTAAGATCATTTGGATCCTTTGTTTTTCAGAAGGACACAATTATTCCAGATCCCACTGTTGGGCTAAAGAGTCCTCTCCAGATGTGAACTTTGGATCCAGGCCCACCTCTCTCCTCTGTGTGTCACATTCTTTTCCCTTCCCAAGAACACTGAGGACTAGAGACCTGGACTTTAAAATTATACAAGGATGCTCTCTTGTAATGTTTTCTGATATGTTATTGGCTTCTCCTGGATACTGGTACATACTGCCAGCATATAATCTAAAAATAAATAAAACATCTGCAGGAATGAGGTTGAGTCATCATGCTGCCAGTTCCTTTGGACAATTTCATCATCATTCTTACACAGAAGGAGGAAACTTTCTCTTGTAATTGACTCAAGGATAGGCAGCAACCCCTATTTGTTTATTCTGAATTTTAGCTCAAAGCATCTCCTTGAGCCTCTCAATGGTCAGAGGATAAGGGAAGTACAATCCAATGCGTTGGGAGGTAAGCATTTGGAGAAGGCTCACAAAGGAGGTCTTCTTGGGAATTCTACATTTTTGCAGTATACAGAACCCCTTTATAAGATGCGCTTCCCTTCTTTGACCTCATTAACACCTTTCTTCCCCTGTTTGGCTTTGCACATTCCTGGAAACCCGCCCAGCTGGTCAGCACTGCTGTTGTGACAACAATGCCGTGTGTGTGATCTCACTCCAAAGTTTGTTGGGTTGAAATGCCTTCCTTGCTTCATCATGGAACTTCTGGCGTGGCACGCCTCCCTCCCTCCTAGGTCTGTGGTTGTGGTGAAGAGCTACTATTGGCATGAAAATGGCAAAGTCCCTTACACCAAGTCTTATCTGATGTTTGGGAAGCATACTTTTTGGACTACAACTCCCAGAATCCCCCAGTCAGCAGCCAGAGACCATGCTGCTGGGGGATTCTGGGAGCTGTAGTCCAAAGTAAGTGGAGGTTGCTAGGCAGGCTCAGGCTGCCCACCATGCTACCCAGTTAATGGAAAGTGATCCATCTAGTCCAGCATAGATCATGCTGAACTCCCACCCATAACAGTCTAGAATTTAAGAATGATGGGAGTTGTAGTCAACATCTGGAGAGCCACAGATTCTTAACCATAATTTATCCTGACTAGGTATGGTCCTCCAGATACTAAATTCAATTTTAGTCTGAATTAGAACAATGAACAAATGCAATTCATTTCAAAGCGTCTACTCTCATTGAGTATAATATTAATCTAGGAGTGTCTTCCCAGCTCCACCTAGAGATGCAAGGGATTAAATTTGTATTCTTTTGCCTGTGAAGCATGTGGGCTGACACTAAGGTGTAGCCTTGCCTTGTGATAATAATCTGCTTGATGTAACTTCTGTGCACACATGCAAACACACACATTCTGTTTCCAGAATGAATTTTTGCAAATACAAGGTGACTCATTTCTTACTTTATCTGGTTTCTTTTGCATCTCGCTTTTGGGTTTTTTAAGCATTTGCAATTTGTTTGGAAAGTAAGGGGGGGAAAAGGAGCAAAAGAGGCCAGCCTGATGTCTTGCCCCCAAATATACACTTACATTCAGCTTAGAGCAGAGATGCCAACCCATGTGGAACAACACCAGTGGAAGAAGGCTATTACCCTTGTGTCCTGTTTGAGAGTTTCTTGGAGGTGTATGAGCAGCCACCGGGAGAGTGAAGATGGTGGGCTTGAACTTTTGTTCTGATCCAGCAGAGCTATGCTTGTGTCCTTAAATTCACAGGTAAATTCATGTCCTTAGTGTATTTGTACCCATTTCCACATTCTCAGTTCTAGCTGCTGTTGAATTCAGTAATTTTTTTTTCAAGCAGGTGTTCACATAAGGGATTTGACAAAGTAATACAACTCTGTCTTTATTTCAGATTTGTCTTTAAAATTCCCTCAAGTTACGTACATTTCAAGAACGGTAAAAGGCTAGAATTTAATTCTTCACCTCTTACCTCCCCAAAACACACCCACAAAATTAGGACATCAGGGAGAAGACCAGACTACAGCCCTGCTTCCTGAGAGGCTAGTTTTCTCCTGGAAGAGATGGCTTATCTTGGAATGAGTGGCCCATCATGCAATGTCACACCTTCATTTCAATGTTGCACAAGCTCAGCAGGGCTGTGCCACATACCACATGCACAGCTTGGAAACATCCATTTTATAGCAGACAATTCCCAAAACAGTGCAGTCAGCATGTCTCATGTGGCAATGCCAGCTGAGGGGTGTTAGAATTTACAGTTCAAAAAAACCCAGAAGGTCACAAACTGGCCACATGCCTCTTTTGCCTGTAGATAAAACAATCTTCTGCCCTCCCTGTATATCACCCCTAAATTTCCCCTGGCATTCATAGGACTATGAAACATCTCATGCTAAAACATGCAGCAGCCACCTACAATAATTTAGTGTACACATGATGCTTCTTCATCCTCTGATAGCCAAGTACAGAACCTAGTCCACACAAACTTCAGTCATAAATGTTGTTTTGAATGATATAGTGGTAGAGCACTCTAGCTCTACTCATGTAAGGGTCACTTTGACCCCTGGGTACTCCTTTTATCAACCTTGGAAAGATAGAAGGCCGAGTCAACTGTGAGCTGGCTACCTAAATTCGCTGGGATCAAACTCAGGTCATGAGCAAAGTCTTGACAGTAGCACTGCAGTTTAGACACCGCACCAGGGTTCCTGGACTGTTACCAGCGATAGTACTGTGATAATAAGAACACACCGTATTTTTCCGTGTGTAAGATGTCCCCATGTATAAGACACCCCTCACTTTTCTAATCCAAAATTAAGAAAACTAAGTGGGGCTTAGCAAGTGTAGGGGGAAAGGGATCGAAGCACTGCAGGATTGCTTTGATCCCTGCTTTCCCCTCACTTGTTTTTGTTCTCTCCTTAGCTTGCTTCCGTGTATAAGATGACACTCAATTTTTAGTCTAAAGATTTTAGAC